ACAAAGCTGTTGTAGAAAAAGCCATTAAACTATGCAGCAACAATCATTTCATCTTTTAGCCTTGGCACTTTCATGGAGAGAACCTGCAGCTAGTGACAGTAATTAGTTTTGAAGCGTTACATGGTATCACGTACAGCACATAAAGTAAAAGAGACTCATAATAACTGGCACTGTTGATAATTCTAAGGCGTCATATCAATGACTACGTTTACATGCACTCAAGTAACCGGTTACTGAGGGAAACCAGATTAAGGCAGAAATCAGATAACACGTTTAAATGTACAGAGGTAATCAGGTTACTCAAAAACCCAGGTATGAATGAACTCCTGGATAATGTGATCCCCCTCCACTAAACCACTGAAAGTAGAAAGACATTGTTCATGCACGCCCACAATTGGAAGGCCTGATGTCATTATGCAACTGCATCCTCCCATAAACAAAGATGGACCCGGTCGACCCAGCTCCTATTTTGTTTTCTTTAGTGATGTTTCACCTGTAAATCACAACATTACCTGCCCCATTAGTCATGAAATTAATAATGGCAAATAGAAGATGAAACACATTCATCTAACAAGCACCATGTTGATAATCATCTGTTTACGCAGGTGATCAGGTTTCCCAAATCCACTACCCCGACTATAGAAACCAGGTTTCCTGCTTAACAGTTAAGAAACTGGCTTACATGAGAAAGCCGATTGTAACCTGGTTACTTGAGTGCATGTAAATGCAGCCAATACAACATCCATCCATCCATCCATCTATGATCTGTACTGCTTATCCTGAAGAGGGTCACGGTGGTGGTGGTGGGGCTGGAGCCAATCCCAGCTGGCCCTGGAGAGAGGAGGGGTCCACCCTGGTCATCCGCCAGTCTATTATAGGGCTGACACTTAGAAACAGACAACCACACTCACTCCTACGGGCAATTTATAGTCGCCAGTCAACCAAAGCTGCATGTCTTTGGACAGTGGGAGGAAGCCTGAGTAACCGGAGAGAACCCACGCAGGCATCAATATAACATCAAAAGCTTAAATATTTTCTGACTGACTACTTTTACTGTAACTCGACAGCCTTTTAACTGAAGAGTCCTATGTAACTGCAATTTTCTTGGTTAGCTGATACACAACCAGAGCTGAGCATGAGGTGCATCCACTCAAAGTAAATTAGTTGAATTTTAAAAAAAGAAGCAGAGGGAATGAAAGTTATTCTCCAGGCTTGATGACTTTCTGTCAGCACTCAAGCTGATAGTAATAGCAGTTGTTACAGCAGATGGATTCATCCCTATGGATTTTTAAAGTCACAAATCTATTAGGCAAGAAAGGGAAAAGGCAAATCGTTCATTCAGAAATGTAATGTTCCTTTCTCTTTACCACTGAGAGTTCAAGTCAGTTTTTTTGTGCTACTTCTGCCATTGATGCATCACTTGAAAGTTATTTTTATTCACAAAGAGAAAACAGTGAAGCTCGGCGTCACCCTTCCTTCCATAATCTGAGCAGTATTGTCTTTTCATAGAAATGTTCATTTCTTTTTCATTTTCACTTTCACTAAGCACACCCACATAACTTCAAGAGAAATCAACTACTGGTATTATCTGGAGATAAGTGCTCACCACAGCATTCAGGACAGACAACCTTACTTTTCAAAAAGTTTTGTAGAGACGTGACAGTAATAACATTTCTTGGCACTACTTTTTTTACTGCATACTGTATGTTTAGTTATAAGTTCAGGGTGCAATTGTGAACACGGTAGTTGAGCTAATGAGCCCTGGAAACTACTAGAAATGTGAAACCCAAAAAATATGTGTAGGCAATGTCTGATTTCTGAACATTTGTGATTCGTGTTGTTGTCACAGAATGATTAATCAAATGCATCTGTGCTTCTTTTACTTAACATTCACTGATCACAGCAGGCTCACATCTGTCTAAGCTGGCGTGTTGCCTTGCTTTCCTTTTGGTTTTATACTTCTCTGTGGAGAAAAGGTACAACAAATTCAAAATGGGGAATCTTAGATAAGGTTAAAGGTGTGTTAACTAAGATTTTACACATTGATAAATTAAGTGAATATGGGACAGGACGTGGTGTCTCTCAGCTAAACAACCCTCTGACGTCACACTTTGCGCTGCCCCATTAACAGCTATTTGTTGGTGCCCTTCTCTTTTTCTGGAATCAAATTTCCAAGTTATGAACACGTCTATGATACATAATTTCATCTTCGGTAATTAGACCAACAGTCACAGTGTCATCAGTAAATGTAACATTAAAGACATCAGGCGAGGTATTGTACTCAGCATCCCTTATTAACATGTAAACACCAAAGTCTAGGTGCTTTTCCTCCGGCTGCTCAAACCTGATAAGATATTTTATTTTTAGGCTATTGCAGTTTTGAAATGACTTCCATAAAAGTGGCATTTTGATACCCACCCCCAGTACCTGACAGTAAATAAACCTGGTCTGACTCTCTGACTATTGTTTGACATGAAACTGGGGGGCCAAGGTG